ATTGAATGTGCACAGTGTGATAAGAATATCTATGCTAGATTAGGAACTTGGCTTATATTTCATGCTTTTCTTCTAAACACCTAGTGAGAGACATATAATTATTGCCCTCTTTTTACTATAGAGAGTTGGAGAATGATTTGATCCAGTCTACATGTAAGAAAGTGGTGGACACAAATGTGCTCTGATCTGTTTGCCTCAGTTCTTTGATCACGTAACCCTCAAGTTTTCCCTATACTTATCCATATCACCATGTTGGCATAGCTTAGGGTCCAAGAAACATAAGGACCACATACCTACCAGGTCAAATTTCATATGACATGACTCATTTGTCTCCAATACTTTAAAAGAAAAAGTCACATACAGGCTAGCTTTTGTCTGGAATATTACATAATACAGATGTGACCCTGAGTGAGAACAGGAATCCCCAGGGAAATTTTTCATTATGAGAATAAAGTAAAAAGAAGGCAAAACCTTGGAACAGAAGCAAACAATGGTTTGGTCTTACTGGTTAAGCAGCTTGTGTTTAATAAGTATTTGCATCTTTTTGGTCAATAAATGCTAGGTTATTTGTCTCCCTAACTTGAGGGAGCTTTGAGGAATCATAGCATATTAGGAATGGAAGAGCCCTGGAGACAGTGTAGTGTCAACTTTACATTTTTATTTGGAGAAACAGTAGTGTAATTAAGGGAAATTCATTTATTCAGCAAACATTTGATGAGACCCTTCTATGTTTCAGTTATGATTCCAAGTGCCAAGGTACAGAAATTAAACAGCATGACCATTGTTTTAAGATTCTCATGCCTAATGGTAAAATAAGCTCATAAACAAGTAATTTCAAGGAACACAGTAAACACTGATTGTGCTGAGAATTCTATGAGTGCTGAGTGAGTCAGTAGGGACTTTTGTTTGAGTTAGAAGAATAAAATGGGAAAAGACAAACTAAGCAAAGGAAACAGGATCCCAAGGGCAGATGTATTCAAAGAACAGTGGTAAAAGGTTAGTGGCGGCTGGAATCTGGTGTGGCAGATGGCCAGAGAGGCTGTTATGGACTTCCTCAAAGTCAAATAACTTCTGGTCTGCTGAGATACAAGCATTTCAGTTTGTGTCTGTCAGGTTTCTCATTGCAGGGACACAATACCCAGTATTTGCATTTTAAAGGAGGAAAAGTTTAATTCGCTTATGAGTTTCACTCCATGATCAGCTGGCTGGCTCCAAGGTAGAGACATCATGGAAGAAGGCATATTAGAGAAAAGCTGCTTAGATCAAGGGAGACAGCAAGCAGGACAGGACAGGGCCAAAGTAGAAGGGCAGAACAGCTTAGACACATCTAGAAGTATACTCCATCAAGCCCTGGAGCAGACGCCAAGGCCAGCAAGTTGAAACTCCATCTTCACTGCTGCATATCACTCTTTTTCAACTCTGTTCCCCAAACACATCTCCTTCAATCACGTTTCCCCAACCCCCTGTTAGGAACCAGGCTACACAGCTGGAGGTGAATAGAAGGTGATGGAGAGAAGCTTCATTAGTATTTATGGCCACTCCCCAATGCTCACATTGCCATTTTAACTCTGCCTCTTCTCAGATTAGAGGCGACATTAGATTCTCACTGGGGTGGGAACCCTACTGCAAACTACTCATACAGGGGATCTAGGATGTTTGTTCCTTTTAATCATCCCCAAATAAATCTCTCCTCCTTCCCCTCCCCCAGTCCATAAAAAAAATTGTATTCCACAAAACTAGTCTTTGGCACTAAAAAATTTAAGAGTGTTGCTTTAAATCATACTTTAATCTACAAATAAACTCATTATCAAGTTCATAATTCTACCTAAGACAACTTTCAATTTACAACTGGAAACTTAATAACCCCTTTCTACAAACTGAAACAGTTATAATATTTTCCAAAAGTCTAAGTCCAAATCTGTTCTGAGATTGAAAGAAAACTCTTCACTGTGGGCCTCTGTATAAAATCAAAAACAAGTTACATAATCCCAGAATACAGTAATGCAGGGTTAGCATTTCCATTCCAAAAGGGAGGAATAGGGTGATAGAGATTAGGACCAATTAAATCCATATGTGTCATCCAAGACACAGGGTGGCAAAATGTGAGTTCCAAAGGTCTTGAGTGACCTTATCCCTATGATCTTTTGGTTGCAACTCAGATGACCTTTCTCTCTCTCACAACCTACTTTTTTGAGAGACAGTCCACATTCTTGTGTCTCCAGCTTCCTAGGGTCTCACTGTACTTTTGGCTTCATTCACATAGTTTCATGCACTATACTCACAGAGGCTCCTTGTCTGATTTTGAGGCTTTCTTTTGAAATTGAGGTGGACATGTCCCCAGTTCCACAATTTTTACATTCCATATGCTGGTAAAACCAGTAGACAGGAAGATGTCTGCTGTCAGTGGAAGCAGTAGCCAGGGCCCTTCAGACTACGGCTGCAGTAGTCTCTGACTCCCTGAGTACGGTGAAATAAATCCTGGGGATACCCTTCTCAAGTAGGGGTCCCTGAGATTCTCTTCTAACAAAACAAAACAAGGCATAACAAAACAAAACCTAAAATCCTGGTACTTTTGCACCTTTGAGCCTGTGATAGGTAGAGTCTTTCTGATTTCTGAGATGCCCTCAAGGGATCTTTATTCTTGCCCCAGTACCAAGTACTTGATTTCTTTTTAATGGTGTTAATGTCTTTAACAGTTACATCTTTGTTAATTCCACTTTACATATGGCTACTTGCTTCTGGGTCAACATTTAAATTTTTTCAATTTTTTTGCTCCCATTTTGCACTACGTGCCTGACTAAAAGCAGCCAGATATAAAGCAGCCACACACTGGATGTTCTGCCATCATGCTTAATCCCAGTCTCCTGCAATGTTTCAGGACATGGCCAATAGGTAGACATTTTTTTATTTTTTGTCAGAGTGTAATGCACATGGCCTGCAGTCCAGCAATCTTTGGAGACCTTATTCCCAACTGAAACCTTCTGACCTAGTCCTCACTGTCAGCACTCCTCTCAGCATTCTTGTCTTCTGAGCTTTGACCAAAATCAGGCTAGGCTGATTCTCTAGTCTATATCTCTAAACATTTCCAAGCTTCTCCCAGAAATAGATTCCAAAGGCTTCTAAACCAACTGGTCAGTTATGGTCACAACAATAACCCCAACACTCATAATTCAAAGGTGGAGAAGTTTAATTTGCTCATGCTTTCCTCCATGATCAGCTGGCTGGCTCCAAGATGGAGATGTAATGGAAGGGTGTGGCAGAGAAAAGCTGCTTAGTTCATGGCAGCAGTGAGGCAGAGCAGGGGAACAGCGCCTGAGTGAAAGGGGTGAGGGAATAGATATAACCCCAAGGCCATGGCTTTGTGACCTACTCAGACACACCTGCTTCACCCATCTCTTGGTTGGCTCTCAAAGCTAATAAATTAGAAACTGCAACCTAACCACCACACAGTCACAGCCCTCTGGTGAATTTTAATGCCTATTTTTTCCTTTCACCAGGTCCATGTTAGGCTGCCAAGTGTTACTGGACTAGACTTTGTAAACTTCACCCAGGATATGTGATCATTTTCACAAGCTGCTTCCTTTCTTAGGGAAGCTAGCAGTTATGTAGACTTTGTGGAGTAGCTTTGCGAAGTATGTGAATCAGCTCAGGCTGCCTCTGTACCTTATTTTATTTCTGCTTGTAGCCTCCAGCAAAGTTAAGTACCCACCCAGCATGGAGCCTCAAGTTGGTCTGGGTTGCTGAGAGTTTCTGATACATCTATGTGTGCACATAACTGAAAATTCCTTCAGACTAAAGTTCTTTTTCCTTACGTGCTGAAGGAGAGAACTGAGAGGGGAAGATTCGGGTATGTTCTACTGACAAGAGGAATGGAAACATGTCCTTTTCTGCGGATTTCACTTATCCACCTTCCTGTTCTCCTTCAGAGCTCACTAACTGCAAGGCTGCATCCCATCCCCACGGAGCCGATGTATACCTGATGTACTTTTAGAAAGTGGTTGAAACGAAGACCCACAGCTCATTGGTGCTCCCATGACAGCCCCTTGTCCTTTCACTTTGGAGGTTCCTGCCAAATTCCTTTCCATTCATTATGGGAACAATAATAAAAAAATTTTCTGGGAGTTGTTTTTCTCATCTGCCTTTATAATTCAGTTTTTTTCTGTTCTATAGTCTCCTTAGGATATTATCTACCTAATGATATGCAGTGATACATGTTCTTCCTTGGTGTTTCTCTTTTGACTGTGTTGGGATTCTGAAAATCATACCCTAGAGTATGATGCTCTGGCATGTTTACTTTGAACTCAAGGAGATTGGAAAGGCCTCTGAAGAAGATCGCTCTGACCTTGTCTTGCCCTCCTATTTCCCACTTCTCTTTCTCACACTGAAATGAATCATAGAAAGCAAAATTATTCCCCAGGCCAAGTCAGAAACTAGAAACTGTCTCCCCCAAAGTAAGCCATAAAACCTAGAAAGGTCACTCTCTCCCTCTTCCTTTGAAGACTCTCATTTTGAAAGTGTCCTGTCGCATACCTGAGAAGAAGAAAAGCCACACAGTGAGGTCAAGAAGAGTCTGAACAGATGTACCTCACTGGGTTTGGTGTTTTCCATCTATCATTAATTTCTGTTTCTTTGTCCAATCATGTTACTACACCATTGCTCATTCATCATCAAACCTAAACATACAATTAAATTATAAGCCATGGGCCTTTGAGTCTTCATTCTCAACACTCCTGTGTTACATAAAACTTTGACTAAATAAATTTGTTGTGTATTACTCTTTTTACCTTTTATTATAGAGGTGTTCCCTGTGATCTTATGATTGTTAAGGGAAAGTGTCATGCCTTCCCACCTCTACAGTTCAATGTGGTTTTTGTATTTAGGAAAAAGCCCAATAGTTTTGATCTTGAATTCTTAAAAAAGGAAAAAAAAATTACTGAGACTGAAATTGTGAACTCTAGAGAAATATTATTCTCTCCACTTAGCATTTATTGATGGTACGCAGGATTTTTGAAGCCATAGAGATAAATCAGTGTATTCCACAAGGAAGGGAAATGAGGGCAGAAGACTAATGACTGAAGCATCAGTGGTGGTGCTGAGAATAATGGCAGGCATGTAGAGGGGAGAGACGGCCTCCTGTGCACTGGGAGAGCTCGGGAGATGGTTCACTTAGCCTGCAGGAGGGCGGTAGAACAAAAGAAAGACAAAGATAGTCTTAAAATGTAGAATGGAATAAATACTGCCTGGAAAACTGCAAGAAGGAAAAGAGAGGGAATGGAGGAGAGAAGACATAAACCAAAGGTGGAATAAGAGATATCATCATGTACAAAGAAATGAGTGTCCCAGACTGCATGAGACACAAGAGTATATGTAATGTTGCTGGGTAAGGAAAGAAGATTTTAAGTAATATTACTGAGGGCCAATTGAATGCCCTTTCATAAAATACCACTCCCCAAGTGTTGATTGAGTAAATGATTGTAATTTTATTGTATCTAGGCAGAACTTTAGACCAAGGATAGTAGGTCACTTTTTAAGGCCTTGTAGCTACCTAATGTGTGGCAGATTTGGAGTTTCATTCCATTCCTCCAGCTTGGAATGGCTCCTTTGCACCTGCCTCACATGCGTTCACAGGTCTTCCTAGGCATCCTGTTTGGAAAGGAAGGCCCGGTAGCACTGCATGAATTAGCAACCACTTTTTTTTAAAACTTTGAAGAGATTTTTGTAATGTATGTGGGTGTAAGATGAAATTAAGGAGGAAGAAAAGTTCATCTTTAGAGGAGAGCCCTGGGTGAGTTAAAAAGAGAAATCAAGGATGAAGTTTAAAGAACGATGAAGGAAAGGAGGGAAGTAATTAGAGTTTAGTGAGCTAAAGACACAATTTAAAGACTGCAGAAAGGAGCCAAGGTGGGAATGGAAGGGATTAGATTCCAAGGTGTCCAAGGGCTGCCAAAATCTTTAAGGTAAATCAAAGGACTATTACCAACTCAATAGAATTTTATATTATTTTAGGAAACCGAGTACCAGTCCACTAGCTGCCAAGCACAGGATCAGGAGTAAAACTAAAATACAGAGCAGATTCTGGGAGCTTCACATAGCTAAAGGTTTTGGCTCAGAAACATATGAGGTATAGGAGCCTAAGGGTCAGCTCCTGCGACCTCTCCCTTTGCCACAGATGAAACTGGAGCCAGAGAGGTGGTGTTAAATCTCTGTGTACCTGGGATTACTGCAAAGCAGGGATTCAGTTGTAAACTTCCAACACCCAGTTCAGTGATCTTCACCAAGAATGTGAAGTTTAGATCAGGTCATGGATTTCCCAAACTGGTCAGAATATCCACAGGCCAATCATGGAACATGAGACTTAGAACTAGGAGCCCAATCTACAAATGACTATGGAAGGGAAAGAGGATCGTGACCTGGAAAAATAAATGGTAGGAGGAAATTAAAGGACAGTAGACTGGAAGATTAAAAAGGTTCAAATGATGGTAAGGAGAAGGTGGAGGACCACAGAGACAAGAAAAAAGACCAGGATATTATCAGTAGATCTACAAGGAAGACTTGTTAATTTTATGGAAAGCAAGTCCTCATTTATACTTTTGACAATTTTTAAACAAAAGATTAAGAGGTAGACATTTCTACATAAAAGGCAGCCTGGTGTCTTGGAGAAGGTGTGGACTTTGACCACTCTGTGTCAGGGTTCAGTCAAGAGAACATAAACCACCAAATTTTTGACAGGGAGAATTTACTTAGAAAATGATGTTAAATAATTATTAAAAGATAGAAAAGATTAAATTGCGACACTGAGGAAATACAGAGCTGCAGGGAACAGCTACAACCCCAAGCACTGGAGAAACCAAGCTAAAAGTGTTGGAATTTTAGAATTTAGAAGTTTAGGATGGCATCCCCACAGAGTCCTCTGAGGAGAGACCTGCAAAGCTAGGGCTCAGGCTGCAGAACAGAGAGCGGCAGCTGAATGGATATGATATTGGTGAGAAATGGCAATACTGTTGTTTTTAGAAGTAGAAAATACACACACACACACACACACACACACACACGCACACGCGCACACACACACACACACATACAGAGAACAACTAGAACCCATTGCTGCTGTTGGAAGCATCTGCTCTACTCACTGCTGGAGAGGTGCTGAGTGCAATTGTGGAAACAGAACAGGGTGAAACATTCCCCTCCTGTCGTCTCCTGGATGCACCGCAGGGCACTCTAATTGTGGAAGCCAGCAAATAATCAGTCAAAAATGGGAATATATGGTATATAGAATATTAGTCCCCAAATGCTTAAAAAGCAGAGCAGAGGAGGGTAGATTTCAGATTGACAGGCTATTGCTTAAAGTCAGCATGGCCTTTGATTAACACAGTGACCTCTCATTTGCATAGATCTCTAGTACTAGGAAGAAATCATCTCTACCTTGACTTTATATCTCTTTCTGGTTATGTCTCTTTATCTCTTTCCTTTTAGGACAAAACTCCTCAAAACTGTAATCTGGATTCAGAGTCTTATGTCTCACTTTTTCTGGAAGATTTTCCAAAGCAAATGTTTGTCTCTACTTCTCTATGAGAGCCAGCTCGATCAATTCCAGATCATGGCATCATTGGCTTCCATGCTGGCAAACCCAATGGTCAGTTCTCAACACTCATTCTACCATACTTCTCAGGACTAGTTCAGAGTTGGTTCACTCTTGCTCCAGGAGCACTTTACTCAAATTGCATTACCCATATATTCTTTCAAGTTTCCTTCCCCCTCCCAACCAGTTCTGCTCAGTTTTCTTTTCTGTGTCTTCACAAGACAAGAAGGGTAGAAAACGAAAAAGAAATCTAGGGAGTGTTCCTAGCCCTTTTGTAAGAACATTAATCCATTAACAAAGTTAATTTTCTCCTGATCTAAGCACCTGCCCAAAAGCCCTCATCCTAGTGGGACTTCATCTTCTAATCCTCAGATTTTGAAGGGTCTCAGGGAGTATCTCTGTCTTTTTCTTCTGTTCTCCTCTTGCTCTGTCACCACACCCAATCTCATAGGTTGCTAGAGTTCTGTCTCTAGCACAGCCTTCTTCCTTGAACATCATCTCACAAGTATAGCTCCTTAGTTAACATTTCAACTGAGAAATTTATGTAATAGGAGATGTAAGTTTAACAAGTCCTCAAAACAAACTTGAACACTCCTCTCCAACAAAACTCACCTCTGCAAGTTGTACCTTTGTACAGTGGTTTTTAGCACTGAAATCTCTCTGTGTCATATTTCACCTCCAATCATCAAATCTGTGACCAAGCATTCTAGGTTCTACTTCATTATGTGTTCAGAACCTGATGACCCTTCTACCTCCATCACCCTCTTAAAAATGATTGTGTTCTTACATAGAATATCTTAGTAGCTCCCAGCAGGTTTTCCTTCTTGTCCTGTTTTGGTTACTCCTTTCTCTTGTTATTCTATTTTCCATAAGCTTTGATAATTTGAGTATGTTTCATGTACATTTCTTATTGAATCATACTCTTAATCTTTTTATGCTCTGTAATGAAATATCTGCTGTAGGGTAATTTATAAAGGAAAAAAATTCATACAGTTTTGAGGCTGAAGTTTATTATTGAGGTGCTGGAACTTAGGGTCCAGTAAGGGCTGCTATTTGCTTCCAAGACAGTGTCATCTTGATCCTTCTTCTTGAGCTAAACACTGCATCTTTATTTGGCAGCAGGAACAGAAGGACTGTAAAAGGGCATAGCTAGTTCCCTTTCCCCTTTTTCCATTTCCTTCCTTCCTTCCTTCCTTCCTTCCTTCCTTCCTTCCTTCCTTCCTTCCTTCCTTCTTTGCTTCCCCCTCTTTTCTCCTTTCTTCCTTCTTTCTTTCCTTCATTCCTTTTTTTTCTGTTCCCAAGTTTTCGCTACCAAACTCTGGCCAGTCTTGAACTTGCGATAATCTTACTCAGCCTCCAAGTCCTAAATTAGGCATGCACCTTCCAGCCCTTTTATAAGAATATTAATTCATTAATGCAGGAGGCACCCTCATGATCTAGTCACCCACAAAGGCTCCACCTCTATTTTATATGAATTTTTCAGGACAAGTTCTGACCATAGAGATCACTTTATTCAAATCCCTCCAAAGACAGTGTCATACAAAATAAAACCCTAAGTCTTGAAAATGGCACACAAAATCCTAGGTCATCAGGTTTTTGGCCACCTTGCCTGCCTCACCTCGTGTTATTCTCTAGCTTGCTCATTCCTCTCCAGACACATGGCTTTCTACCTATTCCTCAGATAAGCCGTGTACTTCTTGACTCAGGACTTGGCAGTACATGTTTTGGCTCCAGGTGTTGGCATGGGATGCACACTCCGTTGTTTTCTTTGTCTCTGACATGTTAGCTGTCCTGCAGAGTTTTCTGCTGACTTCTGTATCTGCTGTAGCCCATCTTTTCTGCTTTCTTTCTATTATATAGAAAGCACTTTTCAATCTCATTACAATTATATCTGTATTTGTTTAGTGTCTGCCTTGCTTTCGAGAATGCACATTGCATGAGGGCATAGGTTTTGTCTTTTTTGCTTATTGCTGCTTACCTGAAAAGACTGCAGACTCCAATGCATATTATCCTCAATTAATGTTATCCGAGGTTTCTGTAACCTCAGAATGGGATCATAACCCTAACTCTTTTGGAGCAGGTAATTGAAAATGCATGTAAAGTGCTTTGGTGCTTAAGAGTGACTTAAATTTCTTTGGAAGGAATGCTTCGGAGATTTCTACTACCCCGTTGTCTTGATTCTATTTATCCAAAGTTGATCTCTTGCCAGACACTGGGGCCATTAAAAAGAAGATGCAATGTGTTATGCTGAATCCAAGCCATTCAGGGTTACCTGCTTTCCATTCCAAAAAGCAATTTTTCTGATTGTGACTTTAAGTTTTACCCTTGGGAGGATTTTAGGAAGGCATTCTTCTAAGAACTTGTTGCTTTCTGAAGAAGATCTGCGAAGGTCAGAAATATGACCTTGAGGGAAAGAAAACCAGAAAGATAAAGCTTTCTACTTCTTACTTCAAACCAGCTCTTTAGATTGGTAAAAGTACATATGTTGGGTCCATAGAAAATTTCAGAGCTATTCAGAATGTTATTGTAAGGAAGAATATTAGCTCCAGCTGTGGCTTTTCAATGGCTCATTTTGGGGCTGAGCAAAAAGCTGACCTGTTGTTTTTGAGGAAGAGTATTGACAATGACATCTGTACTTTTATCTCCTTACTTCCCTTGATAATAACCACCATCTCTTTCTAGCCTCCCAGGCTATTGATGCAATATGGGCTGGAGAAAAATCCATTTTGATTTCACAACTAATTATTGCTAAGGGTAAATCCTTAAGTCTGAATCTCTAGTCCAGAAAACTCCACTCAGTTTTGGCAGATTTGAAATTATTTTTAACCTACAACTTACACTGAGTCTAGCTTTATATCCTTGGGCAGAACACACACTTACTCTGGAACTATACTTATTTATATTTTCATTGAAACATATAGTTTGAATATGATCTTTGAAAGGTTGAAGACTATTTCTGTTGAAAGAAAACTTACAAACATCATGCCTATTTGGAATAATCCTCACCCATCTACATACTGTAGATACTACAGTACATACTTTTTAAAACCTTCCCTTTGACCACCTTTGCTATGCTCTTGACTCAGGACTCAGATAATTGTCCTAAATCTAGGAAAGCACATCTTGGTTATCATTGGTAGGATGGGTTAAGAAAATAGGTTTAATGTGTTCATTAGACTTAGTTTATTGTCTGTCCCTTTGTGCTTCCATTAGATAAGTTTTCAAAGAGTGTTCACATGTAAGAGACATCATATGCAGGATGCCTCCAGACACGCAGACAAACTGGGCCGTGGTTCTTCTGGGAAATGAGGATCTTCATGGATGTTAGTGATATCCTGGCTGTGACAATAGGCAAGGTTAAAAATGAAACAGTGGAAGAGAATAGGAAACCATATTTATTTATTAATGTAGCTATAGAAAGGCTTAAAAGTAAAGCTAAATTTTGTCTTGGGAAACATGATCAGTGCAGTGTCAACCAATTCCTAAAAACTTTGTAGCAAACTATAGCCTTGAAGTCTCCTAGACTAACAATTGCACTAGATACTGAAAAAAAAAAATCATCTATCAGTAACTTCATGTTTCAAACATTTTTTGTGTATCATCTAGGCAAATCATACTTCCAATATTCCTGCAGTGTTAGGAGAGATTATTTAGTTGTTATTTTAATTATCATCACGCTTATTTTTGGATATATGGAAATGTAACCATGATAAGTCAATGGAAATACAGCCTGGGATGGAGTATCTTTATCTGAGAAGTTCTCTTGATCAATTTCCTTTTATTTTATTACACAAATATTTTAATCTTGCCTTTTTTTTCTTCAGAACCAGCTGTGGCTCTCTATTGATTCTTAAATTCAGTGCAAGCATCTTTACCTACTGCCAATTTCTCAGCTCATCTTTCTAACATAATTTTCATTGTAAGTAAAAATTAATATCTAATTTTTGAAGTTAACTTAATTCTTACTTTCTTCAAATCCAATTACAAAACTGAAGTGCTTATTATTTTTTGAAAGGCCCTCTAATTCGCCCCCTTACAGATGAATTGATGAATCTGATAACTAGTTCCTGTAGCCTGCGTTTAGAATCAAATCAGCTTATTTTCCCGTGCCTGTCGTTCTCCCACACTCTGCTGTTTGCTGATTACCTGATTTTTACCTTACTGCCTCCGATCAAGAATGGGACCGTCTGAAATGCTTGCTGTCTGCTCTTAGAGTTTTTGTCTTGAGATTCAGCTCACTTTGAGACACTTGGCCCATGTACTCTAACCTATCTTTATCTGGTGTCAAAAATCTCTCTCCACATCCCCATCAGCTTCTATTGCATACATTCTATAAATGAATCCAAGTCAAACTAACAGGACTCTGGTGTTCCGCTTCCTGAGAACATCACGGCTCTTTCTTTTTTGTTTTTGGTCCTGTAGCATGAACCCCTTGATAGAGTTTTCTAACCATATCCCCCACCTCCTATTGTGATGTTAAACACAGTGTTTCTTTACCAGACAGTAGTTCGATATCTATTGACAGAACAAGTAAAAATGGGTGGGGGTAGATTGCTTCATCTTGTCCACATTTTATTGCTTTTAGGGCAAATAGAACTCTCTTTCTGTTGATTTAGTGCCTGTTCAAAGCTGCCCACACTAGGCCAGATATTCTATATCAATTCTTCTTGTCTTTAGAGCTGGGACATGATTGAGAGGTTCATTGCAAGGAAATTGTTACTTATAATAGTGTCAGCACTGAGTTTGGAAATGATTTACATTGTTTATAAAGCAGAGGAAATTCAGCTATCCCTGTAGTGTTAACAACTTATATTCTTGGGTGGTTAGAAAAAAAGGAGTTACAAGTTCAGTATGGTCATTCACTTTAAAGAGAAACTTGCACAGCTCTCTTCCCCTGTACATAGTTCAATATATGGAATTCAGTTGATTTTCCAAAATTTCCTATTTTTACAGAAGTATACGGAGTAAAGGACAGTAAAAGCTCTGAGATTTTTCCACTACTTAGAGTTGACCTGACACAATTTCATGGATGCTAGCATACAAAAGGACACTTCTGGGTCAGAGACAAAAAGCAGTTCCTTACTCACAGCACCTGCAGTAGCCAAGGAACAAGAACTGATACCCATCTCCAAGTCCAGCTTTCTGTGGTACCACATGATGAACTATGAAAGATAGTCATGTACACCGGGCATAGTGGTGCATGAGAATTCTGAGTTTAAGAAACCCTAATATTTTATAATGGGTTGCAAGCAAGACTACATCCTGTGTTCTCAAAGGAGATATTGTCACTAAAAAACATCCTTGGAAAACATAACAAAAGTCCATTATTACCTATGTTTTCAGGCCATGAAGAAATAAAAGAATCACAGGAAACTGCCTCAGAACAGAGAACATTGTGTCTTTGTACCAAATACATGACTCTTCTCCATAAATCAGAGTCATGGTAGTGGTAACGGTAATGATAATGACTCTGATAGATCATAAATCTATAGGACAGATGTTATAGCTATGTCAACAAAGAGGTTGTGGTTCAGTTTCTGCAACTAAAGAGGAAACAAGTGATATCTGGCCTAGCTAAAGAGGCAAGGGAAAAGATAGAGTAAATGAAATGCTGTAAAGGAAGGGTTGCTTGAGCACTAAAATGAGCAAAATCATGGTCTATGCAGAATAAATATCAGTGGTAAAAAAAAGTGCTAGAATAACCCAGCTA